TTTATGATATATGGTGAACTGGGAAGATATCCAACAGATATACCCATAAAGGTTAGAATCATTTCCTATTAGGTTTAAACTAATCTCATCAACTAGCACATTATCTAGTATTTTATATCGGATCATGTTTACAATGAAAACAGATGACCCAAACATATATTTACCTCTTATCAATGTTGTTTAAAACAATTTTGGAATGTTCTGGCTTAAACTATATATGGATGTCTCAAACCTGTACAAGTAAGATTTGGCTTAAAAGTAGCTTATACCTTAAGTCTATATTATGTAACCAGTTTTATCAACACTGGAACGAATGTAAATCGAAAATCTACTAAAGGCCACTATTATAATATGTTTAAGATATATTCCATACCTTGAAAGTTATCTATTACACCTCCCATTAAATGTACGCATTTGGCTTACCTATATTAGAACTTGTAACCATAAACTTTCAATAGAAACAGGTAGATGGTATAATATTATTAAAGAAGAAAAGATTGTGTACACTGTGTAAGAACACAATAGGAGATGAACTTCACTTCATGTTATATTGTCCATGTTTAAGTAATGTAAGAAATTCATTCCTACCAAACAATTATTGTAATTATCCATCATTTAGATAAATTTATATCCCTCATGTCTTGTACGCATAAAAGCACTATTGTTAAAAAATAAGCAACTATGTGAAAACTGGACTACGTATGCTCCCATGAAACAAATCTGTACATTTATGTTTTTCTCTATGTCACTATTGCGTGATCTTCATGAGAATAAACCATTCATTCATTCGATAGGATTGCTGTGAACAGCTTGCCTAAACAAATAACAATAGATATTCCCCTGTCGGTATCAGGGGTCGGCTTGGCTACCTTTGTTTTTAAAATGGGCTTTACGTAACCATCTGACCAAGCTTGGGAAAAGCCCGTGATCCTAGTATGCCCCGTTCTTACCGCTCTGCCTTCTCAAATTCAAGATCAGGTACTGCTCCTCTTCATTTGGAAACCGGCAGATATATACTAAAATGTGAATGTGAATGAGAGTGTATGTTCTGTTGTATTGCCCTGTGTATGATAATTTGCGTGAAAGTTTATATGAAAATGTCTGTTGTAGCTATCCCAACTTCTTAGATCTCTGTGATGATGATAAATTAGTTTTACTTTTTAAACACCATGTATATTTCAGTGCCAAAACCTGCTTTTATATCTTGCAAAGAAGAAAACATATTTTTACGGATAGATTTTATACTGTATATAACTATATCATTATTTATTTTTAGTGTTTATAGTGCATTTGATACATTCGTCTCTCATAACCCTTAAAGGGTGGCTCACTTATATGTTATCTTTTATAAGTATATTTATATATGTATTTTATGTGAGGGTGAGACTGAAATAAAATATCTGTCTAGTACCAGGTTAAACAATTTAACATAGGCTGGTAGCATTACATCAGCAGAGGCTTTGATATATTCGTTACGTACATTATCTAAACCACAGGCTTTGTTATTTCTTAAATCTTTAATGCATGACATAATTTCAGCTTCAGTGATCCGGCTGTCTAACACGGACATGTCAATTGAAGAGACATCACTTATTTCTATATTATCATCGTTATGTACATCAGTATTCATTTTTTTTAAATGGTTGAATAATGTATTGATTTCAATTTCACACGGCTGGTTTTCGCTTTAACAAATGATTCAAGATACCCCAAAATGTTTTAGGGTCACTGCTTTTCGTCTCTCGCAGCCGCTGAGTACATTCGTTCTTAAATAATTTGTACGACTTTCTAATAGTTTTTCTATAGTGTTTACTGGCCGAAATGAACAATTCTGTCAACATTGCCTTTGTGTAACCCATAAAACCTTTTGTGCGTATGGTAATCCTTTCGAGCCAGTTTACATGATTTATTAAAGCACGGTTTATGCTTTGCTTTACCCCTTTGGAATAGCTTTACACCCAAATGTATATTTGGCTGCGTCTACAAGAGCTTGCGACGTGACATTCGTAATTTCATTAATACGAACAGATACATTACTGGTATCAATAGAGTCAAATAGCACATCGATTTCATGTAATACATTACTATCAACCTGGTTTACATAAACATCACATTTCCAGGCTTCCCGTGGATTCAGTGTTACACGTGCAGTACCCGTGTCATTGACTTGTGTGGGGTTACATACCTTCACCTCGCATCTTAACTTGAAAGAAATGGCGCAACGAACATCTGACAATATGCCATCAAAATCACATATTTCAAAATCCTCAATGTTAGGGAACATTTCAGCCGTAGCAACACAATAATCAACAACACTGGCATTCTTGCAAGTATGTTTTCCGATATCCTTGTCTCTCCCAACTCTCCTATTGACAATATACACACCATTGTTTTTACACATCCAGAAGCTTATAGCCATAAGAGTTCACAGTTTGTCCCGCAATGTCAATGTTATTTTCACTCAGTGTTTCCAGCTTAGAGTACATTAAAGATTCGTCTATTTGGTCATTATCCTAAAACAGTCATCAAAAACTATATAATCAGGTAAGTCCTTAGTGTGAGCATTAAAATCACTAGTTATGCACACATAGTTGGTAAAGTGTAGACATATTAACAATATCAAGTTCGAGTTGCGTAAAGTGTTCTTTATCTGCATATTTACTGTTTTCTGGCGGCATATAATCACATCAAGCATTAAATCAGATGGGAGGTTAAGATAAGCCTTGGAAATTTTACACCATAGAGTTATATCATTTGTCCTTGGGAACACAGATATATAGTCTCTTAGATGTTTTGTTATAGCTACTATGATTCCTTCCGATCCACGGTTTGACGGGTATTTGTGTAAACACAGAACCCGGGGATATCAGTGACATCGATTTCACACAGTTTAGTCTCAGTTAGACACAGAATATCATGATCGTTGATGGTGTTAATAAAGTCGGGGTTGAGGAGTTTCGATGTAATACCACATACATTTAGAGAACAGAAGAAAGTTACTTGATACAGGTTTAGGTACTGTATGTTCGGCGTCTCCTATGCGGTTTCCATCGCTGTACCGCTTCTGGCCTGCATGAAGTCCTCTGAGTGTGTGGTGGCCGTCTGGAGTACATCACATCTTGACCCGTGGACAGGCTTTCCAAGATCGTAGAGTCTGTCGTTGATATACAGTCTGTCGACTGTTAGTTAGCACGACGCACGGGATATAACTGTTTCCTTTTGTCCTGTATTTCATTCGGGAACTGTTCTTTGATATAGAAGTTTGATCCCTTCAAGTGTGCGAATCCTGCCTGTCTAACTACATCTCTGTCCTTATATTGAGGACATAATCATAGATGATTGGCCTATCGATCACCAATCATGAAACCTACCAATTCTTTATTGTTAATTCTGTAAGTCGATTGAAAGGGCTTGATTTGACCACACCCCTGGTTTGTACGGACACATCGTCATCCATTTGTGTCAAGATCGTTTAGTTGGGGGTCAAAATCGGGTGTCAATCGACTTGCAGAAATAACACTAAAGAATTGGTAGGTGTCATGAGTGGTGCTCGATAGGCCAATCAGAAGTGTCCGGCCTTGTCATAATGTATTGTACTGTGAAGCATTTCGAGTCGGGGGTCATCTCAAATGTTTTGTTTTTTTAACATCTTTAATCCTCGCAAAGACACGAGGGCCTGTGCCCACGGTGGCTTACTTTAGCTTGGGGGCGAGGAAACGGGGACTGCTGCGGGGCCGGGGGTCCTGGCGGTGGTCCATACGTGAACGTTGGGGACGTCTGGTACTGTCCATACATAACATTGTTTGGTGTACTTTGAGGTCCCTGAAACATGGCCATCCTTCTTATTTCATCTATTTCTAACACTGTTTTAGTCTGTTGTTTTTGCACATTTCTCTCATCATGGGGTGGACTTTCTTAAGTTTTCCTACTTCTGTTTCTTTTCCTTTTCTTATTGACGTTCATTCATTTGGTTGCGCTTGGGTTCTCACCCGTGAGCTCTTGAAAACACGTCCGTACCCGACGAAGCCCAAGCTCTTGTTCAGGACAATGGGCAGTCAATGTTTTTACAACGGCACAGCTAATGCTAAAATGTTCACCGGAAAATAAATGAACAAGGACGTTGTAAAATGTCATTTGTATTTGTGCATTCATTAGGGCAGTAATTTCCATTCTCTACATGATAAATAATACACATAAATAAAGTTGATAGATGTTATAATATTTATTTTTATTTTGTTGTTCAGTAATATTTTAAGAAGATGTGTATACTCTTGTCATAACACGTAACTTTCTTTCCACAAATGGCATGCAACCTTTTACAAGATTATTTAATGTATTTTACCTTTAAACCTCCCTCTGTACCATCGTAGTTCTTACTTCACCAACAATGTTCGATGCCAGTTGATCTTGCAACTTACAGACGGGTGGGTGGTGTTTTCTATTTGAAATTGCATGGTAAAGCTTTAGGAAACTTCTACCATTTAAAAATGCTATTTTCATCTCTCAGCTTGTACAATCCGTCCTTTTCAAAATACATAATCATTTTACGCTTATGCTGCGGAGATGTCCACCCAAACCCTGTGCCAATATGTAGAGATCTGAAAATTGGTAATCAAACTCCAAGCCACAGAATTAATCAGCCTATTCTTGACTCTGTTCATAAATTCATATTCTTTCAAATAGATTCAAATTATTCTAAACTCTTATGCATGCAATTACCACGAATCATTTGATATATTTTAGACTTTTTGCTATGTTATGCATTTCATGCCTTTGTGGACATAATTGTTTTTGTACTTTGTTTGAAACTAATTATTGATTGCATAGTTTTGTGTAATGTTTGATGGAGCGGCACTTACATAAGCCGTTGGCTTGTTGTGTCAATCCATAGTCATATTATGTTTATATTTCATGAATAAAATATGTGTATAAATTATATCGTTCACTGTTGAATCTCTTGATCTGCAGTCTTTCCCCTTTTCCTCTTGTTGAGGATGTACATATAACCATTTACACATAGGTATCTTCCACCACGAGACGTAGGAAGAAACTTGTAGTCTAATTGTACATTTGCCATAAGTGAAGTTGTGGAAATGACGATGAAAACTGCCATTTCCAACATTCTTATAGCATGCAATGTAAGAAAGTGAATAACTCACCGGTAATCAACATAATCACAGTCATTGAGTGAGATTCATTCACTCGCTGGTACACATGCCATATTTCGTTTCCTGAGTGAACACATTGCACATTTTGTAGAAAGCCAGTGTCTTAATCTCTGAAAACAACACTGTTTTCACAACATCAAACACTTCACCTTCACTTCACGCACTATAGCGTTTGGTAGTCGTTATTGGTCTCTTGTTTGTATCCATGATGGATGCGACCATAGCGGCAGGACTTGCTCATCTGTTCGTAATCACTTTTTGGTAAGTGACTGTATAAACAAATGCTTATGAAAAAATCGAACTCATACAATCAACAATGTCCTGGGCAGAGGACTGTGGACATTGACAGGGTTTTGTTGCATATAGTTGTTATAAATCGTTCATTCATTGACTAAGGCAAACACGGTCAATCTATTGCTGTAGATATATTGTTAGCAAGGGTTTTGACTTGCTGAATGTCAGTCGTATTACACAGAATGGAGTGTTGGTGTTATGATAGTATTCCGACACACCGTTTTAGCAACAGATTATATGATCAACGTGTCAAGAATAAATTATTTGTATTAAAATATTCCTATATGACAGGTCGGCTTCACTGCATCATTCCTCATTGATTACACCCATCCAAAGGTCGAACTTACGGGACCTAACCGTTTGTAAACCACAATACGGTGTCTCGTTACAGCTTTCTGTGAATGTTCTGTAGCTACTGGAGTGAGTCATACGGTGAGAAGGTGAGTGAGTGACTATGCTTTTACGCCGCTTTTAGCAATATCCCACAATATCATAGCGGGAGTACACCAGAAAGTGGCATATTTTTGTATGATCAAGTAACTTTTAAATTAATTCTGTGTTACAGGTTGGGTTCTCTGCATCCTTTCTCATTGATGGAGGACAGACTTTGCTGTGTCGTAGCGGTAGAGTGAAGGCCTCATTCCATGGTCAAGGCATATTTCGGACATTGAAGAAATATGTACGCCATCAGTACAGAAGTAGAGAATCCCTAAAATACGAAGTAATGGTTGCAGACAATATAAACTTGAGAGAAAGACCAACTTTGAGGCAATCATTTACTGAGCTTTCTTGCAAGGTATGGAAAACGTTCTAGATCCTAGAGTTTACCATGTTTTACACATCAAATCAACACAAACAGAAATACTTGATTAAGAATCGCATCATTTATGTGTCGGCTGAAGCAAACCTCAAATATACAACCAACCTTATGAACAATATCGGGTTCACGTTTTATGACACCGCCTCCGTGGTGTAGTGGTTAGAGCGTCCGCCAGGAGAGCGGAAGGTCGCGGGTTCGATCCCCGACCGCGTCATACCAAAAGACGTTAAAATATGGTACTTGTTGGTCCCTGCCTGGCGCTCGGCATTAATGGGTACAACAAGGACTGGTGGGCTCGGAGTCAGAATAATGTGTCTGAGTGGGGTATTCATGCTTCACTCCGGCATGGTATCTCAGTGGGCTAGCACTATAAAACCAGCTTAAGTCTGGGCTAGTACAAGCAGTACACATACACATACACATACACACGCATGCACGTCGTCATATGAGCGAAATATTCTCAAGTACGACGTTAAACCCAATTTCACCTTACCTCACGTTTAATGATGTATGGACTGATATGCTGTTCATGGTCACCTTTTGTATGTTCAAATTTGTCCCCAGCTTCAAATGCAACCGATTTGATTGGATGGTCAGGTGCCATGGTTAGAGATGATTTTGTGTGTTATCGTTCCCCAGTGTCATGTAGCGTTGTCCACTCACTCACTCACTCACTCACTCACTCACTCACTCACTCACTCACTCCACTCACTCACTCACTCACTCACTCACTCACTCACTCACTCACTCACTCACTCACTCACTCACTCACTCACTCACTCACTCACTCACTCACTCACTCACTCACCAGTATATTTCAAGACCGGCATCAATCATTTCGAATCGGAATGATCATGATCAATGTACAACCGCTACTTCTATTTTAGAACGTGATGTACTACACCAGCAGCGTCTCCCAGGTGGCAAGGTTACCTCAATCAACATCAATTAACATGGTCAAGGAAATGACAAAAGTTGACATGGCAAGACTATTCTCCTCCCAAGAGTCATGCCGTCAATTGTTTCCTGATGGTAAACTCACGGTAGATTGGGCGCCTTTTCGACCGATAACCGCAAACATGCAGTACATATTTCAGCAAGACTCCCTGATCCTCTCGTCTAAGAACGAGGGTGACGCGTCGTTGGTAACATTGGGAACACAAATAGCAGCCAGTGGAGGTCGCATGTACCATGTTGACATATATGGCAGTGACGTCAACACACTACATCATCATGTCTTAAGACATCTTCATCACATGATGACGTTCCGCCAAGATGACGTTCTTATATGCTTGGTATCAGAGGAGAACATGACTCCCATAATTCAGGATATTATGAAGACCTTCTGTATTCATGAACACCATTGCTGTTGTACAAAAATGTATGTTTTTGAAAGAGACCTGGTTCGCGTTCAGTGAAACGTTAACAGTATACTCTGCTGTCACTTATGTACTCTAACGAAACATCAACTACTATTTGCCAAATAGTCCAGGGCGAAAAAGCGAATCTGCCCCAGGACGTTCATATATTTTTGCCGCCGTGATATTGCTGGATTATTGCTAAAAACGGCGTAAAACCTCAATCACATATATTTTTGGCGGTTGAAGTAGCGTAAAATTATTGTCCTCCTACGAGGGTACGTAAGTCCCAAATCATTTCAAGTCAATTTAAGTGTACCAGGTTTTTAATCGTAGTATTTTTGTGTTTTTAATGTATGGCTAAATCTCAGCATCAACGCCAATGGCTGAAGGGATGGTGTAAATCCAGCTTGGGTCCATGCAGGTAGCAAACGTAATGCATGTCCCCATGGGCCATAGTATGGTGATCTACCTTCAGTTGTTGGCGATCTATAGCCCGTATTTTATATTGTATTGTCTTCTTTGATTGGAATATTTTAACTTTGCTCGCTAGTTTTATATTTATATCTGTGATTCTCTAGTCTTTTTACTGTCCATCGTCGACAGGTTTTAACTTCAAAATGTTTCCACTTTTTATTGTATGGATTGTTTTCGTCACGATATGGCTGAGATATTGCCGATGTGACGTTAAATAGTAACTCACTCACTCACTCATATTTTTTTGGTATCAGAGGAGGACGCTATCCACATAATTCAGGACATTATGAAAACCTTTTGCACTGACAAATACCAATGCCTAAATAACAGCATGTACCTCTTTGAAAGATATCTTGTCTATATTTAGTGGGTGAGTGAGTGAATGAGTGAGTTAACATTTAACATCACTTGGGATATATTTTATTTTATTAGTAAACTTGTGAATGAAGTTTGGATTTGAAGCAGAGAAGGGGTGTGTTGTCAAAGAAGTGGAACCATACAATTACCTTTTGAATTGCACGAAATTGAGATGCATGATGTATTCTAGGAACAAGGCCAGCAATGTTCTCTTTAGAAGGCCAGACGCTTTTCATTTTAACTCAAAGCAGTCTTAAGAAATCAGGAGTCTTACCCACCCTAAGTCACTGGAATAAGTGCCGACATGCCACGTCTCGGGGGACATCACGGAAGAGCTGTAGTTATGTTTCATTTTCATACCTTGCAGCGTGAAATTAATCATTTATTCAAATATTCCATAGAAACATGAGTTACAGTTTCAGCAAAACGCCAAGTCATAGGACGTCCCTGCAGTGGAGACCGCATAAGGGCCGCATGTTCACATGCTACGAAGGTGCCAAGCACATTGGGGCATAAATTTCATAATTTACAGTGCGTTTTTTAACTGCATTAAAAGACGACCGCACTAAAATTGACGTTTCTTCATATTGCAAGTTACTGGAATGCATGGTGCAGGGGTATCCTTTCGAAGGTCGGTGCAAACATGAACATAAACCACACTCTTAGTAGCAGACTTGTCAGGAATAGCTGGGAGAGTGAGGAAGACCAATGGCCGTGATAACCGATTCCTAACTGAATACACAATGCCAATCATAATGACCCATGCAAACGCAACGGACATTGGACTCCATCTCTCCAGCAACACCATCAGAAGGAAGCTGTGGACTACTGGTCTAAGAGCACTTTGTCCGATGAAATTCAATCCTTCATCAGACCGAAAAACTTTGGAATGGCTTCTTGACATTTCAGTGGAGGGGTCATGTTTGTTACAGTTGGACAACCAAGGGCATATCTTGGGCCAAACGGATCACTGTTGTGTGGTGGAACTCGTTCAGTTATCTTTAGCAGAGACGCCTTGTCACAAATCAGAAGAAGAGATTAGGTTCCAAGGTTTATTGAACCAACCTCCAAATATACAATACAAAACACGCTTTTCACACATTCATCCTATACAAAACAGAAATAGAGCTCTCTCACATGCAACTCACAATTATGTAATTCACATGTAACTCACACGCACATAACCCAGGCTTTTCAATCCTCACCCACATATACTCAAACCATGACACACACTTATTCACCTGCACACAGACCCTCAAACACTTACCTAACCAGACCTACTCATCGGCACAGTCGTAGAACAATAACTGTTATACGGTACATGTTTATAGTGATAAAAGTAAATGAGGGTTACTATGGCAAATAGTGATACAAGTAATTGGTTAATGGTTACTATAACAACAAGGTAACAGTATCCGTGTTTGGCATCAATCCCTGGCTTCTGTCAGTACGAATCCACAGTTACCAGGCTACTGGCGTTAGCAAATTTCTTCCGTACTTCCACTGTCCGACTCATCAGCCTACAATAGCCACTACTCCAACCTTGGCAATTACTCCTGGTGATCTCACGCTTGCCCTCTGGTCAACAGCACATCACCCTTTTGGAGAATATCAAGTTCAACAGTCTTCATG